CAGACAACCCCGTAACAATATGCGTTTTGTACTGCTGTTACACAGCACAAAACGCATAAAAACCACGTGGGTATGAGAGATTTGTCATAACTGTAAACTATTATCTAACCTATAGTCAACTTAGAGCCATTAGGAGTTATGCACGCAAGTGAAAATTTTTTGCTCAGAATCATTAGAAAAAAACCATAACAAAATGACTGTTTATGCTTTCTTTGGGCAAATGCCTCACTGAATTGTTTGCTGCAGATATCTCCCGGATGGTTCATTTGAGGACTGGAGTGTCGATGAACTAGATGTAACCGATTGGTGATTTGTTCTGTCATTTTTTCTTGCAGTTGTACATATTACAAATTTGAATACATTGACGTTTTCTCTCCCCGAGAAATTGTGGAGATGGCAGAAATTTCCAGCCCTGTTTCTTGTTTGCAAGAGGAAATTGGTCGCCCTGCGCTGCTTTTTCGTTGTATCTCAGTAAAATCAAAAAGGTTTACTCTGATGGTCCCTAAGATCTTTTGGATTATTAATGTGAAGAGCAGCTAGCTGCTTACACTAGTAAATGAAGCATTTATTTACATATGCAAACCCAGACATTGTGATGTTACAATTATGTGAAGCAGTCAGTGGTAGAATCGTTTGTGAATTATATAAACAAATTTCAGTGCATAAAGCTCTTCGTTGCTTGAAATTGCTCATGTCATCATAATCCATCGTATTATCGTTAGAGCCACAACGAACAGATATCATGGAAGACATAATGAGTGAAGATGAGAAGTGGTGGGTCTGAGAGTTTTACGAAGCTAAGGCCCCTCTCCTCGCCTCCATCGCCACCCTCCTGCATGTTTTCCATTCAGGAAAAGCTGAAGCTTCTGGTAGCAGCCCGAGTGGAAGCAAATAGCAACAAAGAAATTTGCTGATAAGGCTGTCAGTTATGACTTCTTTGAAGACTGTTTAGAAACAGACCAATGGAGAATTTAACTCTCTGATTTGTGCCGGTGACGATTTACCATCGAAACGAATGAACAAATCGTAGTGGGATTAGTTGTCCCACTGGTGGAGAGGAGCCCTCGACCTTTTGCACCACATCAGCGCTATTTGCCACTTAAAATTGCCGAGCCACCAACTTTATTAATAAAGAAAATTAAGAAATGCTAAAAGATTATGGAGAAAATAGACCCTGTAGTAGCTGCATTGTGCACTATCATTGGAAGACCTGCTTAACTGGAATGGCATCATTAAAATACTATACAGAGAGAAAACATGGCACACACAGAAGTTGACAGTGCGTTCAGCCTTATGAAGATTTGTGCCCTTGGGAGACGTGGATGCCTGGTCTGATCTCTCACTGCCGTGTACTTGCAGCAGCTTAAAGTGCAAGATGTTATTATACAGTTTTTCTCGTTTTGTACTGCCATAACGGATATTCATTCTCCAATTGGATGAGAGGTTCCAGGGAAGATTTATTCGAAAACGGAAGGACCAGAGATTTACTAGCTGTTTGGGATCTCGTGGCTGCCCTGGATAATCTCGATCCCAGAGCTGTTACGTTTTTATCCAGCCGCACCGTGCAAAAAGCACAACCAGTGATGAAAGAAATTTTGAATGTATAATTATTGGGGGTGTCCATCCGCATGAAAAAACTAAGCTCGCATCGCGGCTCATTCGAAGTGAATTGGCTTTGAGTTTGAAAACCGCGTACGAGAGCCACTCAAACGAAAGTTTCCAGTATTTTCGAGTTACTGTTTTTTCTCGAATGTCAGTGGTCAATAGATAAATCCCAAACTGGAGGATACATGCTGCACTCAGATACGGGCGTGCCACGCAGTAGAACGCAACACCGAAACATCTAATGTTAAAACTTATTAAGAGGTGTGGTGGGAATTAGTCGTACTGAGAGATCTGAGTACTGGACTCGGAGTATATGCTTCGAAGTCGACGCGGCTCTTCCGGCTCGTCTTCCTCAATTCGCTAGCGCCATGCCCATACAAGCACTGTAAAAATCAGAACAAGTGGTGTTTTTTGCGCAATTCGATCTGTTTCCAGCGCGGCAGCGCGTAGAACGCGTCACGTTCCATTTGGAAAAGTGACGCGAATTCGTCGTCATCCAGGTACTGCTCCAGTCGATTTAAGTCGGTGCCCGGCGGAAGATCTCGTGCTATCACTTTTTCGAGCGGCCAGGTCCTGGTCCGCAACCGCAACAATTCATCCAGGTCGACTGGCTCGCAACGCAACGGCTTTTGCTAAAAATTTAAAAGAAAATCACTGCGCTAAGTATGGATCATTTCTTTGGGTATTACTTATAATCATATCTGATTAAATTTGGGACTTACAATACTAGTATAATGACTACATAAAGCTTATTATAAAGTGCGATGTAAAATTTGTCGTATTTTGGCAAAGAAAAAATAACGTCTAAAAAATGAACTGATTTCCCCGAAACAGTGACCTCCATGACCAAGCCGCAGTCATATATTAAAATATTTAAAATATAATACGGCCAACAAATTTTTGCACATTTTCCCCTTTTTGTCCTTCAGCACTTCCCCATTCGTCGCGTCTGAGCGATTTTCAGTCATTCAGCGGTATGGCCTGCTTTCTGCAACTTGGCCCGAATTTTCATTCCATGACGACTTCTGCGCCCCTTTTTCACTTTCCACATGTACAACTAAAGCTGATCTTTTTGTCAATTTCGTAATCGACGGTGCTTTATCAAAGCTGTACAGTATGAGAGAAGTTGAAAAAGCTGTACTAATAAGTAGTGGTGGCAATGACGGCGATAATAACAGCGAAATAGTAATTATTAAGCGATGGAACTGCTGAAATGTGAAAAATGTTACCAAGGCGGGAAGCTCATTTTCATCAAGTTCATCTACGAAATCCTCCCATCTGGGGAATAGCGCTTTGAATTCGTCAGGTTCCAGTGTTTTGCAAATTGCCGTCATAGGACCGCTCCGGCTTAGCCAATACGTTTTAGCCACGCGGATCGCAAAAGTACTGACTGTTTTGTCGCTCCAGAGCCATAATCTGCTTCCCTGATCAACCATAATTGTATCGCTAAAATAAATATCACTGTAAGCATGCTAAACGTTAGCTGTCCGAATAATGATTCTTGCATTTCGTGAAAACAAGCTAAAAATTCAGATTGTGCGGTAGCTCGTACCGAAGGCTCTCCTGCTGGAACGAAAACGGGAGCAACGGATCATAAACCGTGCACATAAGTTCTTCGCCGCGCGTTTCAAATAACCGGAACAATCTGGGTGGCTGAAAAAGCAGAAGAATTTTAGTAATAACAACGAAGAAGAGAAGCCAAAACAATTTTTTCTTTGTGAAAAATAAGCCATTGGAGAATAGCAAAATTATTTGTTGAGACTTAACCTCGCGCACTTGCATGCGAAACAAAACGGAGTTGCAAACACTAAGCGAACAAGAATGAGTGCTAAAGAACCAAGCAACGCGGTAAACTATGGTGCCCGCCCTTTTATTCTGATTACAAGAGTGCCGTTCAGCTGTTTGGAGATGCTAGCCCGTTTATTAATAGGATCCAGTTGCTCTGCTCAAAATACAGAACACAATAAGCGCAGATGGTGTCAGCAATACAAGCTAGCAAAGGACACCAAATTCAAACGTATTTCTTTTTTATTTCCTGTTTTATCTGCAAATTTGTTACTATTTCAGTTTTACTCCTTACACAATTAAAATTAACATTATACCTTCGGTCTTGTCGTTTTCTTCTACTATTAATACTAAATTTGTTCTTTAGCTTAGCATTATTTATTTAGCAGTTATGTGCTATTTTCACGTACTGGAAGGCGCTCGTTTCTATTCTGCTTTCTAAAAACTGGTTGCTTAGAATAAAGCTAAATGAATATCAGTTTTCACTTTCGAGTACCTAAAAGCAACATTATTTAATGATTTATAAAAGCTGAGTTGCACGCATGTGCCAAAAGAAAAATTCAGGAAACAGGATAAAATGAAAGCGAAGGTTACCATTTCGATCCACTGATGACACATACCTGTATCCACTGGTATGCTTCAATGACAGGACCCTCGAATGGCGATTCGTTGAGATCGCGGAACTCAATTTGCGGCTCTGCGGTGAACTGTTCAAAGGCGGTATAATTGTCCCGGAC